ACAGTCCAAACCTCCATAAATAGTTGGAAAAATATTGTAGTACACGAGGACGGACAACTTCGAGCTAAGAAAGACATATACTCAAATGAAAAGTCTAAGAAAGTTTAATAAAATATGTTTTGGTCCGAGACCTTCATCAGTTGTAATACAATGACTTACAAATTCCTTAAATAGATTTATATAGGGCTTGATGACACATATAAACAAACACAGCAATTACTATGCGAAAAATTATCACAATAAAAAGAAATGGAAAAATTGTCGAATCCACTGAAAATGTTAAGGAACCAGCGTTGACTTAAAAGGCGTGAATTGTACTAAAATTCCCAATCAACGCTGAGACTGGGACCTTTGATGCCCGCCCAATTTGAAAAAATTCTCCGCATTAATTATAGTTTATTCTTTTTTTGGAGTGAAATTCCTGGTGCTTATTCAAGCCGAAGGGTGCCAGAGAGAACAACTGTGCGCTCCAATATGCTTCTTTGGTAATTAGAAGTTTCTCGATGTTACCTGAATTGTTTACTGTCGCCTGCACTTGATCAATGGATTGGAATGAGAAATCGCTTAAATCATGTGGTGTTTTGTTGAAATGTATAGTTTGGTAATTAGAAGTTTCTCGATGTTACCTGTTCCTTAACATTTTCAGTGGATTCGACAAGTTTTCCATTTCTTTTTATTGTGATACTTTTTCGCATAGTAATTGCTGTGTTTGTTTATATGTGTCATCAAGCCCTATATAAATCTATTTAAGGAATTTGTAAGTCATTGTATTACAACTGATGAAGGTCTCGGACCAAAACATATTTTATTAAACTTTCTTAGACTTTTCATTTGAGTATATGTCTTTCTTAGCTCGAAGTTGTCCGTCCTCGTGTACTACAATATTTTTCCAACTATTTATGGAGGTTTGGACTGTGAATCCCTTTGGATCCTTCTGGCACGGTGTCACTGTTGGCTCAAGGCCTTTTAACTTGTTATATATATATATATAGTAGATAGTATAGGGTCCCCTATACTGTTTATGTGAAGCATGATTGGGTAATTTTTTTTTTCTTGAATTGTGATTTAAAAGCATGAACTGCTTTAATTCTGGTACTGCACTTTGAGCAGAGTGAGTCATTTTTATCCCAGGTGTTTCGACTTATCTAAATAAGTCAAAAATTTGAGGAGGTTTTTTTCTGTTGGTACATTAGAATGGGAGGTTTCAAAACAACACAGGAAAACACAGCACACAGGAAAACACAGGAAAATCTAACTCACCTTCACCAAATTTATGGCATTTGAAGAGAAATCACAGCAGTATACAAATAAAGTTGGGTCACTGAAAGATATTAACAGAAACATGTGTTAGTTAATCCATATAATTATATCAATTTTTGTATGATCCAGAAACAGTCTGGCTGATAGTACCTTTTCCTTTGTCAAAGAAGGAAAACATTATTAGAAAACACGATTGTTTAACAAACTTACTTGTTGGCCTCCAATATTGGAAAAACTGTGTTCCCAACGCCACACCCAACCTGCAAAAGAGGAAATTAAATATGTGCGGGACTTAACCCAAAAAATTCAGTGACTGCTTGATTACCTTATCAGGAAATAAGAATGGAATAGGGTGTGGTTTTACAATTTTCTCACCTCAAGAATCCGTTTCTTTTTCCAATGACCAGGATATTCTTCAACACAATGTCTGGTGGATGTTAACTCATCGTCTGTCACCTCACCAGCTGCAGAATCATTTTTGCTGTCATTTGATGATTGGGTTTCCTTCCCTGGAGGCAAATTGTTTCCTGACATCTGTAAGGCATCAAAGTGCTCTGGAGTTACAGGTCCTGATAATTCAGGAAATTCTGTGAATAACCAATGGCGATCTTTGAAAAACCTATGTATGAAAGAAGGTGAAGAGATAAATCCAGGAAGACAAGGTAAAAACTATTGCGTTTAAATAATTCTGGTTTGACATTCCTATTAAGTTTGTTACGAGTGGCAACCAGACTAATTTACTCTGTGTTTTCAGTATAATTATAAGAGAGAGATAACTAGAAGCATTTTAAACTCACTTATCAAAACCCTTTACACTCTAATGGTGACTAGCATCTAATTTCTCCTTACAATATCACTGCTTAGCAAGAGAATGAGGTCACGAGATTAAAGGAAATGATCTTCAACTGAAAAAACTCCTGGCCCCAGTTGTTCGAAGGATGGATAACGCTATACACTGGATAAATCTCTATCCGGTGGATAGTGCAGTGCGTTTTGGTAACACTTATCCGCTGGATAGCAATTTATCCGTGGGATAGCGTCATCCGCGCTATGAACAAGTGGAGCCTGATTGTTAAACAAAAATCTCCTTGACAACGATGGAGAACAGTAATGTATTGCGAATAGCACGGAGAAAATGGCTAGTGATGTTTGGGTGTGTAGCATTTAGTGTAGATGTTGTAGTTCAATTATATCCTTGGTTCAGATTTTATTTTCCTTTGTTTCAAATTCATTATTATACATTAACATGACTGAGAACAAACGAAAATAAAATTTGAACCAAGTATAAAATTGAACTACAACATAGACAACACATAATTTAGCAGACAAGCCTCTAGAGAAGTCTGGACGCACCCTATGAAAACCCAGGTTACATTTTTTCCTAGGCATTTAAGACCAGTTTTACCTGTTTTGGTGCTGCAAGTAAAATTCATCCCAGAAGCTACCAGCTTTTTCTTCAAACAGTGCTAAAAGTGGATTGGACAGAAAAAATTTTATGGCCTTGAAAACCATGTTTATTAGCTACTCTCAGTTGGTGGGGGAAAAACTGGTTTCTTGGTTTGAGGTTTTTCCTATGAAAATAGAACTTTTGCGAACATTTCCATTAAAATTTCGTACATACAAAGCAACAATGAAAATGTGATAATTAGGGAGGTCACCCCACTCAATTTGTAAAGTAAGACTCAGGTCTGATAACGAATCTTTAAAGAGTTTATGATAAGATTTTCCCACAGGTCTTTACTATTGTAAAACAAAGCCATAGCCCCAAGGAAATCTTTTTTTTCTCCATTGCTTTCATTATCAAAGAACTGAAAGCATAATGAAGTATGGGCCGAGTGGAAATCTTACCGAGTTCACATTTAAGAAACTGAGAGCATAACCTCAAATGATCCCTTTAAATGAGAAATAAAACTTCAATTCAGTGTAGCATCGATATGCTAGCAAGAAGTACCTTGTTCATCCTCTCCTAGTTTAATAAGAGAATTTTCATTGATCTTCTGTTGTGCAGCTTTTTCTTGCTCACTGTCCCATTCCACATTGTCCCTGCAAAAGTGAGTGGTCAGTCGCCAACAAAAAATTAAAATCTCCAATTCAGACATGTAATTGCGTCAAATTGGATCTTGCGTTTGTTTTCTAAACGCTTAATCATATAACATTTTCCTTTGATGCAATAAATCAAATTCTATATTGGTCTCACCAAGCATTATGCTCAAAAACTTTGGTTGGATCAGAGAGAAGACGGTTTCCAAACTGAGGTCTTGAACCATCCGCACCGTCCGCCATCTTGAAAAGAGTAATCATACCATTTGGTACGTGGGCTCAAGAAGCAGAACTCATTCCCAGACTTCTGCAAACACTAATCACATATTGCCTCCCCACTTGGTCATCAATTGCAAAGGGGAGAAGGGCGAGAGAACATCGTTGACGTTGCTCATGAGATGAGTCCAACCTAATTATGTGTGGGAGTGTAACTCAATAGATTTTAATAAGCTTTTTTTTTTCTCTTTTCTTTTCAGAGAAAGAAATTTCTTTGTTTTAAGAAAAAATTCCCCCAGTCGAGTGAACGAGTTTACAAGAAATGCCTGTCAAAAATAGTCCGCGAAGATGTTACACGAAACTTCAGTTGTGTTAAATGACGAGACAAGAGAAATAGGACTAAATTTAATTTGATTTTTATGATATATTTCTCTCACTGAATAACTGGAATCTGTCATTATTTTTTCACCTTCCCCTCTCTTCCCCTCCAAAGTCCCACAAGAACGATTACGAGAGTCAGAAATGAACTTTAAACAAAAAAATATTTCTTTGGTATGTCGTTATGATAGTCTTTTTTTTCGTTTTCTCCAATTTGTAAACAGCATTGCTTTGTTAGTGATACTTAACGACTATTTATCTCATAATTCTCAAATCATGAAGTAACGGTGTTCTGAGACGCAACAATTCTTCAGACTAGCCACGAGCCTTATTTCTCTTTTCTTTAAACAGGTATCGAGTCACAACGAGCCGTTCTTACACCTGAAACTTAAATTATTTGAATTTACGGTGAACAGAGGTTTTTTCGCAATTTCTCTACAGGGTTGAATTAAGAATTTTCGAAAGGTGAATAAAACCCGAGTTCCTTTTTGCCGTTTACAGCTACNGGCTTTTAACTAGTTGCCACTACAAGAAAACTTCTTGGCGATCTCCGGGAACAGTATCCAGTTAATCTATGGCCGGGTCCACTTCGGAGAATGCATATGAGGGCTTGAGGCAGTTGTTCGTTGAAAAATACAAGTTTTTCCCCCTTCATCCACCCGCTTTCCCCCCGCCTATGTCGAAAGGAAATGCGTGTAACAAATTTTTGATCCACTTGTTTCTGATTCACGTAAGCTGTTTTGGTTTTCTGACAGTGACCGCTACTCTTCTAACCCCATCACAACTGAGAGAAACCAAAACGTGCTCGGCGTTCTAAACGCTATAGTCTTCGTTTCTCAGCTTTCACATTATACTAACTTGTAAACTACGACTATTTCATATAGATTTTCTATTAACAAACATACAGAAACTATTAAATATATTTGTTTCTTTGTTGAATTGACAGCGGGAGAAAACAAGTAAATTCCTAATCGACCGGTTAACGAAAACCGCTGGCTCAACTATTCTCTACCGTTTTACCGATTCCGACCACAAAATTACTTGTACTACCTAATTTTCAGATAATTATCTCTCTACGCTTTTTTCCTTGCTTTTCCATATATGCTATCCAGTGTGAGTCCAGCGAAAACAAAAACCACACCAAGCCATTGGCGGGCGATAAGCGAATTTCCAAACAAGAGCACCGAGCCGAGGATTGTGAAGAATTTACGAGTTGTTGTGATGATGGAGCAAGTCAGGGGGCCAAAGTTAGCCACGGTCATGAAGATGAAATTCTGCAACGGAAACAAAAACAGAACGGAAATTGTAAAGCAAACAACAACATGATCTAATTTATGTGATATTAGTGATTACGTTCTATTACCATTAACTCCCAAGATCTAGTTGTTAATTCTCCCCTCTAATGCCGCTACACATTTCCTTTAAATACACTTGTGAGAATTTGGTGTTAGATCAAGATACCAAATTCCGCATAATAATTTTGAGTATTAACAGTATTCTCACTACCTGTTTGTCGGATAATGTATGGATATCATTAGAAGTTACATGTTAATCACTTCCAGGAGCTGAAGGCTTAACGGGGAAACCAAAGCACCCTCTTGCCTCGGTCGCAAGATGAGGTTTCGTAGTTAATTGGTGAAAGGCGAGAGGTTTAAGCACAAGCCTCAATTCTTTAACCCAGGCTCTTTCTGAAATTTCCTCCACTAAAGTTTACCGCACAGAACAACTCCTGACTCGTTCCCAGTCTAATTCAAACGGGGGCAACCGACGCGGGCGGAATGGAAGCGCGAAGTGTGATGGGTAGCGAGAAAGTGAGAGGTCTCCCCCCCTTCTCCCCTACTTTAGCAGCACAAACATTTTGGACACGACTGGGGTGGAGTAGAGAAAAATTTGACACCTATCAAACACACCTTAAACTAACATTCACTTCGTAAGTAATTTGTCTTCAACACACAAAAAGTAAGATACTAGCACTGCCTTACTAATAGGCTTTCTCTTTGAGAATGAAATAGCGATCATGAAATAAATTCGACCCCAGGGTAGGTCAAGTATTGCAAGGTTCTCTGGTTCCCCGACTGAAAACAAACTTGCACCGTGAAGATTTTCTTAACTTGTGCAAGAACGAATTGCTCTGTTCAGCTTCATGTTTAGTACGAATTCATAAGCCGTTTTTCGGTGTACCAATCGATTCAGACTGTGACCAGCCCCTCTTTCTCTACATATTCCGCCACGATTTCCACTAGCTTGTGGAACGAATTACGCTATTAGAGGGATACCTTGTTGTTTACAACCAAGACATCTCGTAACAAAAGGTATCCACAATTTTGAAGGGCTTTCAAGTGCAAGGAAAACAGGCAAGTTGGTTTGAAATTTAATACGCCAAACGAACTGGCATTAGCAGAAATGTTATGTTACAATAACCGACAGTTTTTAATAGCCGGGTTCGTTTGAGTACCTGCTCAGGCCAAACGCGAATCATGACAAGACTTTCCGAAAGAAATGATAAACAAATAGGAAACGTCATCAAAAGCTCTTACGCAAACTCAAGTTTGATAAAAGCTTACATAAATCGAAACACGAGATTAAAACTGAATAGTGAAGCGTTAACGGAACTTAAAATCTTAGTTTCAGTGGGAAAAAAGAGTGTTATCACAGGTGACTTACCAATAAACAGAGATGTGTATCATCATATGATGTAACTGAATATGAATCTCAACTCCTGTATGAAAGTGTGTGGATGCCTGTTAAGTCTTTTAGATTATTCATCTTCATATGTAGCATCTTCTTTGGTCCTCAACCCTTTTCTTAATCGAAAAGTTTCTTAAAAATCGCATTGCGTAATGATCGGACACTAGATTGGTACAGGATGGTTCTAGGAGTTTCGCTCGCCTTCTCAAAATAACCTCCCTCTTAGCTGGTTAGACGGGGTCAACAACAGATCAGAATGTCAATTCTTCAAACTGGCCGCCTTACACTTTTTTCCAATAGCTTTTGTTGATCAGTTTGTCCTTTCCTCGCACACTTGATAGTAAGTCATGAGTGCAAAGATAATTTAGACATTGATAACCATCAGGAGGTTACCGCGATGTAACTATAGACGACATCACAACTTTTCAACCAAGATTCTTAGGTAATCTATTAAACTCTATTCATAAATTTCAACCACGGTACTTAATCAAAAATAGAACAAAAAAACTCGATTGAATCTGCTCCAACATCTTCACTTACATCATAATGTTCTCCCACAATTTCTTTCCACACTAGAGGTTAACTTTCCGCCATTTCTACCGCGTAAAAGTTTTCTTTTCCGCCATCATCCTCGCGATGCAAATCAATTTTTCAAATAAGGTCACTTAATTTCCCCCCATTTCTTCAACGCTACACGCTCAATTTCCCGCCATTTCGATGCTGGAAAATTGGCCCAGTTTATTACCGCTATATCTCCTCTGCCTGCAGAGATAATTTTCTATCAATTATTCCCTCAAAATTAGACACGACTCCTGCCTTTGTTTTCCGCAATCAGACCAAATTTACGCCATTTTTCTGACAATCAGACCTAATTTCCAACCTTTCTTTTGCGGTTTCCTGTAAAACTCCCGCATAGCTAATGCAGAAGAAAACGAAAGAGGTTACCTGCGTTGTCGGAAATGTAGTAATTTCTACAGCCCACAAAAAGCATCAAATACAGTTCACAAAGTACCCTCTTAATTCACAATCAAAAAGAGAATTAAAAGACTTAATAAAATACAGAACGTTTCCCCCGCTGTTACAAACACAAGCCGAAAACTTTAGTGACTTAATAACAAAAGAGATTCGTCGATATTTTTATTGCAAGACAAAAATGAATTAAGGCAAATGACAGTCTTGAGGACCGCTCGCTTTCCTCCAGCGTTTAAACTGCATTGCAACCAACTGTGTTTTATCTTTATGACGTTTGTAGCTTGTCGCAAATTTCACAACATTCAGCGGAAACTGGACGAGAACGATTTTATATCGCTATCGCATAAAACCGAAAGTTCCATCGACTTCTTTATCGTAAGGAAATTTAGCGCCAAATTGGATGTCGTATCCGCCCGTGAGAAATTATCTCCACCGCAAAATGCTATTGGTTGCTACACAGGAAGCAATAACAGTTGCTGCTTATAACAAAAGGCGCTGGCAGCAACACATTAAGAAGGCAAATTTTCAACACAGCTACCGCTACCGGGTTCCTTAGCTTGCAAGTGAAAAGCGATTCGTCAAAAGCTCCAAAAACGCTGTGGTTTGTTCAGATAAAAGCGAAGAAAAAAAACTAAAAAGCAGGCTTAAGAGTCGACAGGTGAGAAAAAAAAAACTATCGTTAGGCATTTTATGTATGACTATAACCATTGTGCATTCGGCGACTTTGCTCACAAGCGCATGCCAAGTGCTCCGAATTGAATCCAAAATTCAATTTCTTGGCAACGTCTTCAAAAGGCAGTTGAGTGTTAACATCAAATTGTGCTCGCTTGATGAAGTTTTCAAAGCTACATATTTCGAAAAACAAACAATACGAAAGCCAAACTCTAATTATGAAATATCATATAGGAGCACAGATATTGGAAATAGTGAAAGAACGATACTGAAATTCAGTAAATCACATGATTTTCATCTAGAAGCTTCGAAAATGAAATGAAGGGCCACGCTGACATCGTGAAATCTTTCAGCTCGCATTCACACCCTTCATACCACGATAATAATAATAATAAAAACTGCACGCCTCGAGCTATTCAAGGAGACCCAATTTAAAAACTACAAAAAATAATCAAACATAAGAATAATACAAGTCGATAAAAAGACCCATTTTGTATTTGGTCAAAATGTTTTGAAATGCACCTGAATCAGAAAGATAACGCATTAAAGTGATAATGCATGAAGATAAAATTATCTGACAGAATTTGAGCTTAGCAGAACGATTATTAAAGGACGAAAAAAGGGTTTTCAATGACCTAATGGAAAAAATGTACATGTCATGGTATTGGTTAAATAAGCCATTTCCGCACCACAAAAGCAAACGCTATTGACAAAAAAAAGTAAACTTTGCACGGACGAAGAAATTGAAAAATCGTTTAATAGGAAATTAAATGCTTGCGAAAGTGAAATTTATGACCGCTAAATGGTGACTTATTTTGTTTTCATTTTGCTGCATTGTTTTACAGTTTTGACTTTTCATCGAATGTCATTTCGTGGGTAAACGAAAACGACGTGAAATGCTCTCAGTTAACGAAAAATTCAACAACATGTAATTGAACTGAACGGTAGAGCTTGGGTTAAAATCAAGCAGAAATTCAAGTGCGTCCTGGCGAGAAAGATGACAGTGATAATCTGTTTGAAACAGAGGCGAACTGTCTCGTTAGCCTGTCTCCTTTGTACGCACAAAAGTACACAGAGAAAAAAATACTATTGAGTCAAGGACAAATTTAACTGCTAAAAAAGATTAAACAAATACGTATTCGGTTGCCGGATGAGAGGCCAAAAGTTAAATCGCCACTTAAACCGGAATTTACCAAGCGCACGCAAAAAAAAATCTAACGCCAAAGAAAACACTTTTGCGCATGTACTTTCTAAGTAATAGAAAGCTTTGAAGCCGTTCTTCAAAGTAAGTACATTTAAAACGAACCTGAGAACTTTATTATTTTTGTGCTAGCTTTTAGAAACGACTTTGAAATAAAAGTTTCACAATTTGGAAAAAAGTACAGGATACCAGAGACCCTCGAAAAGTTCCGATAACCGTTTACAACAGATATCATTTCAACACGCTTACACGTTCCTAAACCTTACCCACATTTCAATGAAAAGTTCTGTCGATTTATCAACTGCCACAGACTGTTATTGAACAGACCGTAAGAGAATTTTGTCACCAACAAGTTGACACTTCTACCTTAAACCAGACGATGGTCACCTTTGCAAAGCGGTCCGAAATGATTACAGAAATCAATCCGGCACTGCGTTAGTTTTGCATCACTGCACTCTGTGATTGGATAAGAAAATTCGCGCCAATCTCTTAACAAATAAATTTTCACCAAAACTCACTCCCGATCTACTCGCATGTTACCGCGCTTCAAGCCCAAACTTTGTTTGGCACAATTGAATTTGGCTGGAATAATTTGTTCCTTGTGTTGTGTTCTTAGGCAAGACCTAATATCCTGACAGACTTTCCCAATTCAAGAGTGTACATGGGTACTGATAAACTGCCAGGGGGGGCGGAGGGGAAGAGAACCTAGTAGAAATTTTGGAGTGGGGGGGGGGCTAATCTACGGTAGACTAGTACCCTACTCAGGATCAGGAGAAGGGAGCAGGGATGGCGCAGTGGTGAGAGCACTCGCCTCCCATCACTGTGGCCCGGGTTCTATTCCCGGACATGGCGTCACAAGTGGGTTGAGTTTGTTGTTGGTTCTCGTCCTTGCTCCAAGGGTTTTTCTCCAGGTCCTCCGGTTTTCCTCCCTCCACAAAAACCAACATTCCAAATTCCAATTTGATCTGGAAACAGTAGACAAGGAGAGCCACCCAGTGGAATGTCCATTGCTAAATTATTTATTTATTTATTTATTTATAGTTGAAATCGTCTAGGATATGCTTCAGCAATTCTAGTCAGCCTCGAGTACGACTTTAATCAGAGAGAAAATAGAAATAAATCGCTTTGAGTAGGTTCCTCTAACAAAATTTGCTTCCTTCTTCCAGACTACCATATTCTGCCATGATTAACCTTACGAATACAAAGAACAACCAAACCAATCAAGGCGACCAACAAGGATACGTCCTAATACCGAGCTTGCTAGGCTGGGCTATATCTTACGCTATTGTAGCAGTAGCCATCATCGTCGGAAACTCGCTTACAATCGCAGCCTTCAGCACAAATAAAAAGCTCGCCAACGCCCGCACTAATTACTTCTTGGTGAGCCTGGGGGTAGCGGATTTTATGGTTGGCGCATGCTCAATACCAATGTACGTAACTGAAATGCTCTTTTATTATCTGCGTAAAAACGAGATTAAAATCCGGTTTAACGAGATCTACCTGCCTATCGACGCATTTATGGGTTTCGCGTCAATCTTTGCACTCGTTGCTATAGCCCTAGATCGCGCATACTCTGTATTTCGCCCTCACAAGCACAAAGCTATCACCAGAGCGACTTACTTAATGGAGATTTGCCTGGTCTGGCTCTTGGCGGCCTGCGTTGCTGGGATTCGCGTTCTTAGCAATTTCACCAGCAAAGATATGCTAAAAACTGTCTTCAACTACGCCATACTCGTCTGCGTGTTCACTTCACTGATTCTAATTTGTTTCGCTTACGCTATGATTTGGCACAAGGTTAGGAAGCCTGTGAGCAAGAACCATAGGACCGGCACGAAACACGAAAAAAAGCTGGCGGTAACGCTTTCCTTAATCACACTTGTGTTCATCCTGACGTGGGTCCCTTTCTACATTATGAACATTATCATTATGTTCTGCAAAAGCTGTTATGTCCTTCAGTTGATTTACTTCGCCAAGTTTTTGCACTACAGCAATTCTTTTGCCAATTTCATCATCTACGCGCTCAAGATTCGAGAATTCCGGAAGACCGTGGCCAAGCTTTTGCTAGGCAAAAGAAAGAAAGCGCCCTCAAGTCCAGAAAAAAGTAAAACCGCGGTTACTTCTAAGGAAGAACCAATCTTCATGCAAGACATAAGAGTTAGGGGATTCACTCATCCACTGGAAAATAACGGCGTCGATCTGATAACCGCTCACCAATCAGTGTGAACTTAGCATCTCTTTACAGCCAATCAGATGCAGCCTACACTCTACAAGCTCACTCTTATCAATATTTTTTTGGATATTGTTGTTGTTGTTGCTGTCCATTTCCGTTTCTTTATTCCTATAACAAATCACTTTTCCTTCATCGTTTGACCCCCAAGAGTGACCAGCATCTAATTTTTCCTTACAATATCACCACTGAATCACGCATTAAGGTCTCGAGAATAAGAGGAAATGATCACCAACTAAAGAAGCTCTGGATTGTTAAACAAATTCCCTTTGTCAGCAACTTGGGAAATGTAAAGAGAACAGTATGGAGAATATGCACACTCATGTTCGGGTGTAAAGAATGAATACCGTGAATACACTACTAATCGAGTTGTGACATAGCACTAAGCACTCGCCGGTGACTGTAAGAGTGGCCCGAGAATCTGCAATACGTTTGCAATAGAACTATTTTCAAGTGAGTGTCGAAAGTAACCAGGGATTGCTTAGGGTTTTGCTTTACTTCGCTCTGTGATTGGTCATGAAAACTCGAACCACTTTCTGAACCAATCAGATTCAAAATTAGAACCGATCACGACTTCGTCACCCGGGTTTTCCCGCGCTTTTGGTTTTCCCGCGCTTAAGGTTTTCCCGCGCTTTAAGTTTTCCCGCGCTTTAGGCAGTTTGATTGTTTTTATTTTGAGTTCTTATTAGCTCTTAAGGGTATTTTTCTTTCTTCTCATTAGCAGTTGTGATTTCTTTGGTTTTGGATTTGGTTTGACGACACCCAATCGAAAAGCGCCCTAATAATGAGGATCACAGTAATTCTTGAAACTGGTCATACCTGTCCTACAGCGCTAGCCACGCTGAATGTTAGTATGTGTAGTAAAACATATGGATACCGCTGGCAAAATGCTATGAACTGGAAAACTTCACCACTGGTCAAGAGAGCTGTGGACGTAAAAAGAAAAAAAACTTAATGGTGGTTCGTCACAAAAAATAAAATTAACATTAAACTGCTCTAAGAAATCCATCAAGTGTTAACCAGTAAAACTGTTAAAACAAAAAAAAGCTTCAACTAGAAAATACCATTCCTAACTTTCTACGTTTTCCCCTGAGATACAGGTTAACTACAAGGTTACTTTTAAAAGATATGAACGCCAGGGGAAACAAGTATAATGAGCGAGGCACAGTTTGCCAAGTCTTAATTCATCGCTTCAAAAATCGTTTTAAAATGTTTTACAACAGCGTTCAAAAAAACAGTTTTAAAATTGAAGTTTGCTCTAAAAACCCTTACCGATTTATGTCCGTCTATAAAAGGTAAATACAAATAAGAACTTTTACCGCGTTTTGAGATTCCAAAGTATAGACTACATATAACTGTTCGCAAATTGTTTTTCTTCATGAACGCCGCCGTTTTTAACAAAAATACTTTGTGGCCTGACCTCATATGAAAAACCAGAACGCGCACACTGGAGCGTACTTCTCCTTTGAAACTGTTACGTGTTGAATTTGGGTAACTTAGAAGCAAAGCTAGTTTCGCTGAGACTTACTGATCGCTAAGATACCAATTGACCAGAGATTCATGTTAAACATCATATGGTGTGACTGCACGTGGTGTTCTGCTCTCATTCTGTCCTGAACGGCACCTGTTAACCCATCACATGTCAGAGATACAAGCTGCAAAGAAAAGCTATCAATTAATTTTCTACCTGTAAAGAATTATGTACATGTCAGAGATACAAGCTGCAAATAAAGGAGAGCT